GCGCGGACCCAGCGGGGGCACCAGCACAGGGGCCGGCATTTTGATGACTGGAGACCAGTGTCTGTTACTCTCCTTTTTTAAAACGAGATGAAGTCCCCACAACCCACAATGCACTATTTTCAAAGTGGCTGCCTCGGTGGCCCTGAGCAGATTCCAAATATCATGGGACAACTGTGCCTGACTCGTTCAAGAACATTAACATCTCCCCAGAAGGAGCGCCAGCCCCTGAGAACAACTGCCCCTTCTCTGTCCCTGCAGAGCGACCTGCTCTGGATGGACAGGTCACACACACACAGAATCCACCCCGTGGGACCGCGAGTGTCTGGAGTCTCTCACGAAGCCTCCTGTGTTCAAGGTCCATCCGCGCTGCAGCCTGAGTCAGAGCCTTGCTCCTGTTCCTGGCTGCGTAATATTCCACAATGGGAATGGACCCAGTTCTGTTTAATTATCCATCAGTGCTTCCGTGGATACCTGGTTGCCCCTACCGTTGGTCGATTGCCAAGAGTGTGGGGTGGGGGTCCCCGACATGGATGCTGTGACCAGGAGAAAGAAACAATGCAGAGCCGCCCCCGCCCCGGTTGCTGCGATGGACATGGGGGAAGGCCTTTCCCAGTCCTTCTGACAAGAGCGTGTCCCACTTGCACAGGCCGAGGCCCCGCCTCCCGGCCGTGAGCCGGTTCTGCAGGGAAGTGAAACCTGTGCCTGTGAACTTGTTTGCTGGGCGAGGTGGCACCGCCGACAACCTCTGCAGGGCAGCCGCGCCCCAGCCGCCCGCGGTGCAGAAGGGGGCACGGGGAAGGAGGTGCAGGGTGTGTCCCTTCCTCTCGAGCATCCTGTGCTGTTCAGCGGCTGCCAGGGCGCCCCGGCCTGCACACAGGATGAGAACCTGAGCACCGGGACCTGCTGGGGCTGGGGACCCCCGTCTCCGGGTCAGCTGTGCTCTGAGCCCAGTGAGCGAGGCGCAGGTTCTGGACCGGCCCAGGGGTGTGGTCCCTGCGGCTCAAGCATGTGGGTTTCCCCCACCAGCTCCGGCACAGGCCTGTCCCAGGCAGCTCCTGCGTCCCCGCTGCGGTCTGCGGACCATCCTTGCTGGTGGGCTGCCCACCCAGCCACCCCCCCATCCGTGCCTGGGGCTGGGATTCCCATGCAGTTGGGTGAAGAGCACCCCCCACACCCACAGCAAAGGGCCCCCGAGTGGACAGACTTGGACTTTGGGTTGAGCACGGCTGAGTTATCTCACACCACATGGAGAAGGGACCCCGCTCTGCCCATGACTGGGTACCAAAGGGTTATGAGAGTTGGCAGGACAGGGCACGGGTCCCGCCTGTCCCCACATGCCACTCTGTGCGGAATCATCCCCACGGCCAGTGCGGGAAGGAGCTCGCGGAATGAGCTTCGTCTCGGTCCCAGCTACGCACTGTCCGTACGTCTGCCACACTTCTCGGGGGACACCCCAGGACCGGCGGTCCTTCACTTCCCCACTTCCCATACCCACTCGGTGGCCCCCACGCCTGGGGCCTCAAAGTGCCGTCAGCTCAGAGCACCCCGCAGCACCGTGCTGGATGGGGGAGCCTTTTACAGCTCCGCCTTGCCAGCGAAAAGCACAAACGTGCAAGGAACACCTGAGGCTCTGTGGAGAGGCATCTCATGCCAGCTCAGCTGGGGACAGAGGTGACCATGAGCCAGCAGCAGTACCGACTGGGGGGAGGCACGTCCATGTCTCGAGGCTGCGTGTTGGAAAACACGCCACCCGCCAGCAGGGAGCTGGGACGGTACCGGCCCCGGGGCCCTGGAGACAGGGGGCTCATGAGCCTGTACAGAGAGGAGTGTGAACAGCATTGCTCCAAATTCTCTTTCTAGGATAAAAGTGCTGTTTGTGGGTCCTTTCTCCTTGGGGCAGTCAGACTGTTGCCATCCAAACACGTCCCAGCAACTCGTCACCCCAGGACGGCCCTCTGGGACCTGAGTCCCGGGTCTGTGACTTCCTTATGCCGGCAGGGGACGGGGCGAGTGCCTCAGACAGAGGCCCTGGAAGACGCAGGGCAGCGAGAGTGCAGCTGGCCGCGGGCGGGCACCTGGCTGACGCCACCCGCCCTGGAAATCCAGGTGCCCCAAAGGCGTCCCCCTGCCCATGAAGCCTCTGCCCACGCCAACTACCCGCTGTCTGTGCGGCAGCCAGTCCCGGGGTCAGCCCCCACCGGCGACAGCCCAAGCGGCGTGGACAAGGGATGTGGGGACATCGAAACCCTTGTGGACGGCGGGTGGGAGGACAATGGTCAGGCTGCTTGGGGAAAACCTGCTGGGAGTTCCTCACACGGTTAAACAGAGAGTTACCTGATGACCCAGCAATCTCACTTCTGGGAATGGGCTCAAGAAACTTGATAAAAATGACTGTGAAACAAAACCCAACTCAGCGCATGTTTTTGGCATGCTTCCCAGTGGCTGACAGGCGGCAACACTCCAAATGCCTGTCCCCTGGGAGGGGACTGGTACGCAGAAGGAGGTGCACCCATGCTGTGGAATATTACGCAGCCAGGAACAGGAGCGGGGCTCTGACTCAGGCTGCAGCGTGGATGGGCCTTGAACACAGGAGGCTGCGTGAGAGATGCCAGACACCCAAGGTCCCCTGGTGTGGATTCCATCTGTGTAAATGTCAATCTACAGGGACATAGAGGGGGCCGGCGGTTCTCAGGGGCTGAGGAACAGGGGTGGGGACTGGCTACTTGTGGGAATGGACATCCTTTTGGGGTGGGAAAGAGATTTTCAATGAGGCCCCGACCCAAGTTGCTCAATCAATGGCTTGGGTGGTGTCCCGCAGACCGAAAGGTCACCAGTTCAGTTCCAGAAATAGCCATGCGGTTACGGGTTCCGTGTCCGCCCGGTCGGCCCGTGTACGATGCTGCTCTCTCTCGTTGATTTTCCTCCTCCTCTTTCCCCTTCCCCTTCTCTCTCTCTCTCTAAAAAAACCCCAAATCTGAACTGGATGCAAGTGGCGACTACCCAACATGGTGAAGTGCTAAGTGCCTGTAAAGCTCACAGTGTCGAGACCTCACACAGCGTGAGTCTCAGCCTGGTGCCCACAGACTCACAGACTCACAGACACACAGTGTGGAGAAGATGCTGGTCCACCGCGGCCCCTGGTCTGGCCCTCAGCTCCGGTGTCACCGGGCCTGCAGGTGGCTCTGTCCCAGCAAACTCATCTGTCACACACAGAGGACATCTCGAGACATCCCAATCCCCGTGACCACACGGGCTTGTCACGAGTACAGGTGTGATGGGCAGAAGGGCTCTGTGTGACACACAGGGATTCGCAGGGTGCAGACCTCCCACCAAAGTGGCCCCCCGACACTGTCTCTGGGGCGGACGTAACCAAATGCGAGAGACACCCCGGGAGTCCTGAACCCACCCAGACGGACCCTGTCCCGCACCCGCAGAGCACGGCTCCAGATCACGGAGACACGGGCCCCCTGGGCGTGGGCAGTGGCCCAGGGACCGAGTCCTCACTGTGGGGCCCATCCCGTCCTCATTAGCTGAGAGCTTCAAAGGTAGGGGCAGGACCGACCATGGAAGAAAGATGAGTGTGCACAGATGGGTGGGTGGGTCAGTGATGGATGCACACACAGAGAGAGGGAGAGGGAGGGTGGGTGGGTGGGTGGGGCCATGATGGACGGATACATGATGGGAGATGGTAGAGACGTAGATAGATGCACAGATAGATAGTTAGAGACGTAAATAGATACATAGATAGATAGATACTAGGTAGATAGTTAGATGCATAAATGGATACATAGGTAGATAGTTAGATACATAAATAGATACATAGGTAGATAGTTAGATACATAAATAGATACATAGGTAGATAGATACATAAATAGATACATAGGCAGATAGTTTGATACATAAATAGATACATAGGTAGATAATTAGATACACAAATAGATACATAGGTAGATAGTTAGATACATAAATAGATACATAGCTATGGTGGGTGGGTGGATGGAAGGACATAAACAGATAAAAGATGATGGTGGACGCATGGGTACACATACATGATGCATACATATGACGGATGGATACGTACACACACAGAGATGATACAAGTGTGTGCCTCTGGGTGGTCACAGCTATGCCGGGTGGATGGACGGCTGCACGGAGACAGACAGCCGGCAGTAGGTGGAAAAGAGCTGCAGACGATACACAGACCCATTTGGATAACGGAGCGGCGATAGACCTAGATCAACACAAGACACAGCTAGTATCCAGGCTGTGATAGACAAGCAACCGCTACGGCCTTACAGGTTAACGACATGGGTGGTTTGTATGGTGTAGACAGGCAGACAGACAGAAAGCCCTGGGTTTTCCCAGGGACAGAGCGAGCCCTCCAGCCCCCTTGGCTTTCAGGACAGAAGCACGGACAGTCTCCAGGACCGGCCTCAGGCCTGCTGTGAGTGAGCCCAGCGGCAGGACCTGGGAGTTGCTCCTCCCGGTGAACCTTCCCGGAAGCCCTCACCCTGCTTCCCACGCGGCCCGAGTTTGGGAAATCACCGTGTTTACTGGCCGAAACTCCAGCTCCACCCTGTGCCCTGGGCGGTGTCCCCACTGTGAGTCAAGCCCCCAAAGCCAGCATCCCCTTCTGGCTGCAGTTCTGAGGGGCTGCGATAGACTCAGCCTCACGATGTCCGTGGAGATACATTATGGTAGCAAGGCCTTCTTTAACTTTTTTTTCCCCTTCATTGCAAACAAAAAGCTGGAATTGGTTTTGTCTAGAAATGTGACTTCAGCTTCCAGCCTGCTGTATGTCTGCTCAGGCACCGAGTCCCTGGCTTGTCCTGTGGAGTGTGTCCCTGCCATGTGCCCTCAGCACACGTCCCCGGGGAGTGACAGGCTCTCACAGCTGCCCCCCCGCCCCCGGGCAGGTTCCCCATGAGCTCGGCAAGGAGGCGGGGGCCCCACACAGGCCTGCCCCCCCCAGAGCACACGCAGACAGTTACACAGGAAACTCAGAACGTGTTTCCTCTCTGTGTCCCCTAACTCTCCTGTGGGGCTCCGGGCTCGGAAACACTTTGCATTTGGGGCGAGTGCCGCAGCCCCGGTGCAAAGAGCGTGCCACGTGCAGACCTGTGGAGCCGCGGCTGGCGGGCGCCGGCTCAGACGCGGGCGGGCAGGCGGGCGTCATGAAGACTGGCCTCCGGACCGGGCGCTTCCAGGCTGGGCTGCGTGCACGCTCCTGACCCCGTGCGCTGCCCAACACCCCAGCTGCGGCCTGTCCTGGGTGAGTCCTCTGCCTGTTCCTTTTTAAGCGCTTGCTCAGGAGAAGTGGGGGGCACAGGGTTTTCGGTTGGGGGGGAATATGGGACGTGCAAGGGGCATGCCGGAGCGTTCTGCAGCCAGAAAAAGAGCAACCCCCAAAACGCTTTGCAAAGCCCCTCAGCTGCAAACCTGCCACTGGGGAGCACCTGCTGCACCCAGGGCGGGTGGGCAGGCCGGTGTCTGCTGGGGACCCGCCGCCCGGCACCCGCGAGAGGGCAGACAGCGCCTGGCCGCCGTTTTGCTTAGAAATCGGGCCTCTTGGCGCATCTTACAAGCATCCCAGAAGGGTGGGGGGGCGAGGGGAGCCCCACACGCTGCCTGGGGAGGCGGCTTGGGAACTCCTGCGGCCTTAGAAACGGAACAGGGTCAGCAGCGGTTTGGGTCCCAGCCTGTGAACAGGAACTGCGGGCCAGGCGTGCTGTTTTGTGGCAGAACGGGGTTGATGTGTTGTTGCTGCCGTTGGCGCCTTTTGTTCAGTGAGCACAGTGGTCAGCGGGCCCCCCTCCGAGGCGGGAGGGCTGGGGTGTGGCACCTGGCTCCTGAGTCTTCTCGTCGGACAGGGCGTGCACTTGGGGCTGGGCGTCAGCCCATGTTTGTCTCCTAAGATGTTTCTATGCTGGCAAAGGGGGTCTTTTCCTTGGGGCCTCGCCAAAGCCAGCCTTCATGCACAGGGGGATGGAGCCCAGGACGTGGCCCCTGAAGGCTGGGGACCAGGATGGCTGGGTGGTTGGAGCTGCCGGGGCTCCGGGTGTTTATTTAATATGGACATCTGCCAGGGGGTGATGGGCAGCCCACCCCTGCACCCGAGACAGACACCCCAGCATGCAGGCAGTGGGGTAGGACGAGAAGCCGCCCAGCTGGCTGGCTGTGCATGTGAGTGGGTGGACACATGAGGGCATGAATGGGTAGGGGGGTGCATGGGTGGGTGGGTGGATGGATGGATGGGTGGACGGATGGATGATGGATGATGGATAAATAGATAGTGGGTGGTGGACGGATGGGTAAGTAGATGGGTGAATGGATGGACAAATGGACGGATGGGTGCATGAGTGAGTAGATGGGTGGGTGGGTGGATGGATGGATAGATGGATGGATGTGTTATGGGCGGGTGAGGACACGGATGAACGAATAACGTGGGTTTACGGGTGAGCAGGTGGACGAGGAAGACACAGGTGCCTAGATGAGAGAACATGCATAGAAAAATGAGGGATGAAAGAATGAACATTCTCCAGCCCGCGGAAGAGAGATTCCGTGTCTAGATCAAACCCGAAGGAAAGCAGCAGGAGGGGACAGAACGCAAACGTACGGTCGAGAAGCACCCACAGTCGTGTCTGCACCGAAGGGCAGTTTTGACAGTTGCAGCAACACGCGTCTGTTGCTGGGTGGCGGAGATGAAAGCCCGGATAAGGACCGCTCCCCCAAATGGTGAAGGATTTCTGGGTTCTGTGAGCAACTCACAGGGACTCCCAGAAACCTCATGGCGTCCCTCTGGGCAAGCTGTTGACAGCTCTTTCCGTGTGGGGAAACCGAGACCCAGAGAGACCAGTGATGGGGCCAGTGTCCCCCAGCCATCGGGGGCCTTCACTGCCTGCTGTTATCACCCATAGCATCACCGCTGTAGGTGTTGTTAGTCCACACGCGGGGATTCTGCGTGTCCCACCGGCCGGCTGTAGTTGGAGCTCGCTACGAGTCCTTGTGGGGCAGGGGTGGGAGGGGGGGGAGGGTGGAAAAGTTTTCGGCCTCGCCCCAGGAAGTGGTTGCCCAACACCCTGAAGGCACCACAGGCCACTAAATCATTCAAAGTTGTGTCTCAACTTTCAAGCGAGGGACAGGGACGTACGCACAACCATGCAGAGGGCCCGCCCTCACTTCCCCTTGCCTGTCAGGCGGCCGGCTGGCGGGCGGCCTTTTACAGTCCCGAGTCACACGCTCAGGAGACCAGCCGGGGGGCGCGCCTCAAAACCCCGCCACTCGGTGCCCGTCCACCACGCTAAATAAAACTCGCCACTGGCATTTCTACACAGCTGATGCAAAGGAGAGGAGAGGCAGATTTCTGCCCAGGTTGGGGAGGGGGGCGGGGGTGCCCAGAGCTCGAATTCGTAGTGCGTGCTGGAATCGCTTCAGGGTGACAAAGATGACTCGTGCCCAGCTCCCACGCTGTCTGGACGGCAACAACATCAGAAGTTGGCCCGTGATCCAAAGGGACCCTATGAGGGAGCTGACGGAGCCCAGATGTATGACGGGGTGCACAGAGATGCTGGGGGACCAGACTGATGACTGAGGGCCCCGGAGATTTTAAAGGGGCCGGAGTAAACAGGGGGGGCCAGACAGATGACGAAGACCAGCATGAACAGGGACATGACTGCAGATCACAGAGGATATTGGGGTGCGGAGACGAGATCGGGGACTGGGGACAATAGTGGGCCCTGGAAGAGAACGTTGACGATGAAGAGAACATTGGAAACCAGACAGAACGTTGGGGACCACAGCACGTATTGAAAACTAGGGGAAGTATTGAGGCTCATAGGCACTATTGGGGGGCCACAGAAAATACTGAGGATGAGACCGTTTTTGGGGGAGCAGACACATTGTTAGGAGCACAGGGCAAAGATGGGGTCCTCACTGTCCACCATTTGGGGGCGTCTTTGAGCTCACGGCACGGGCAGGTACACTTTCCCTGGGCACACCCGTGGCTGCGTGGGTCGCGGCCGAACGCGTGAACTCAGAAGTCCAGGCCCTCGCCCCAGCCCAGCACCCACAGCCCAGCCGTCCCAGATGCCCTCTGGCCGCTGAAGTGCTTTCCTTGTGGCTCAGAGGCTCCGACAACTTCCTTATACCTTACACGTGGTCCTCGGGCTGGGGACAGAAGGGGGAGGCTGCTGGAGGGGCACCGTGTGCCAGGACTTCTGTGGAGCATGGGGGGGGGGGTCAGGGCAGAAGGGGCCACAGGCTCCCTGCACCCCTGTCTGCTGCTCCGTGGTCTGGTCTTCCAGGCCTCTGTCCCTGTGGACGTCCAGCCTCACCCTCACCAAGTGCAGTGCAGCCCCATCCTGACACTGTTCTCACCTGTCCACCAGGTGTGTGCCAAGGGCCCTGCCGCACCTGTTGGCTGCAAGCCCAGGGCCAGCCCGGGGCTCTGTGACTGCTTCCTACGAGGTGTGGGTGTGTGGTGGGTCGCCCACACCACAGGTCACCAGGTAACCTGCGATGCTTCCTCAGTGGCGTGGCCCCAGACACGCCCCCATTACTTGACGTGGCAATGCAATGAACCCCATCATTGCCGAAATCAACTCGGACAGGGACAGCTGAGGACAGACTCTTGCTAACGTTGTCCCCAGTGGTAGTGACCACAGACTGGTGACAAGGACCCCACGGTGACCTGGGCCCCAGGCCTCCAACCTCCCCCAGCCCCTGCTGCGTTCCTTCTCAGGGGGGCCCAGCCACCGCTCTGGCGACCCCACATGGCAGGCGTCCACGGAGCCGAGCTCCTGGCCACCCACCTGGCGAAATGACCACCTGGTCTTTATTTCCTAGGCTGAGCACCTCAGACATTCAGGGACAGAGGCTGGGGCCTGGTGAAGCTTCAGGAAACAGCCCATAATGTTGTCGAGGGAAACCTGGGTCTCTGATTTCACATCCAGGGCACGGCGACCCAGGCTGGACTCCATGGCCATAGTTCCAGGGACACTTGGGGCCAGACAATGCTGTGAGGTGCAGCCGCCCTGGGTGTTTCTTGTCTCCAGCCACCGGGTGCCAGTAGTACCATCCCCTGAGGTGTGGGGACCAGCAATGTCTCCAGACACAGGCAAGAGTCTTCCCAGGTGGCCATCTCATCCCCAGTTCTGAGTCACTGTCGGAGGCAGATAGAGGGTAGATCAGTGATGGGAGCTCATAGATACAGGGTGGATGCATGATGGACACATAGAGAGATAGGGAGACAGATGACAGGTACATAGGTAGATAAATAATAGAGTGATTGATAGAAGATAGAAAGTAGATGGATAGATCATAGATGGATGATAGACGTACTGATAGACAGACAGAGGAAGAAGACAGATGGATACACAGATGACAGATACATAAATGACAGAAACAGACCTGCATAAATACATGATAGAATATGGATGCAGGGATGGGCAGATGGTAGATAGTGAGATACAAAAGTAGAGAGTTACATGGTAGACAGAAAGGGATAATAGATGGAAAGGTACATGATGGGTGGACGAATTGGGTAGACAAGTAGAATATGGCTAGCTAGCTAGCTAGATAATGGGTGGATGGATGGATAGATGGATGGATGGGTAGAAGGATGGATGGGTGGGTGGGTGGATGGGTGGGCAGATGGGTGGATGGATGGGTGGATGGATGGTGGATGGATGAGTGGAAGGATGGATGGGTGGGTGGATGGATGGTGGATGGATGAGTGGAAGGATGGATGGGTGGGTGGATGGGTTGGCAGATGGGTGGATGGATAGATGGTTGATGAATGGGTAGATGGATGAGTGGATGGATGGATGGATGGATGGATGGATGAATGGATAATTGGATGGATGGACAGGAGGATAAATAGATTCATAGGTGGGTAGATAGATGGACGGGTAGATGGGTGGGTGGGTGGATGGATGGGAGGATGCAGAGATTCACAGGCCGTTACATAGGTACACAGGTAGGTAGATACATAGATGGATGTAAGAAGGAAAGAGGCTGAAAGAGAAAGACAAGAGCGTCTCCCAGTGAAGTCAGAGCCTGCCCCCCTCAGCCTCACACCCTGACACTGGGGCTGCAGGACGTTCACGTGTGGGGCAGCACGAGCCCTGTGTAGAGGACATTGAGCAGCCTCCTTGGGCTCCGGCTGCTGGACAGTGGCATTGCCCCCGCTCAGAGATGACCACCAGAGCAAACGCAGACATTGCCCAGTGTCCCGGGGTGGGGCGTCTGTGGCCCCCAGCGGAAACACCTTGG